TAGCTATCTTGGTTTGAATTAAGAGTATACACCATGCTTTAATTCGAATTGAACTATGAATAGGAAGAGTATGTATGGACATTCGACAACAGGGATTAGATACATGCTTGGTTGTTTAAATTGTTCTTCTATGCTTAATGGGTTCCTAATGCTTAATTTTAGGTTAGACAACAAATGATCAAATTAGGGAATTAGGAACACAAGGTTATGACCACACACCATGGCTTAATCATACTTTAGCTAGAATCAATCCATTAATCTAATTGAACTTGGGAACTTATCTGCTTGAGTTAGTTATTTTCTTTCTTTCTTGTTGTATTTATTTCCTTTCTTTTTCATTTCTATTTTGTGTAGGGAAATGAATTGGATCATTCAATCACCAATCCTCGTGGGATTGACCTCGCACTTACATATGCTATACTACCAAACGGCTCGTGCACTTGCGAGTATCACAAGTTGAGGATGCAGCTGAATCCATTTTGGTGCAGCTGAATCTACACAACAAGCACCACTTCTTGTTGATATCAATAAATCATGGATAATATTTTGGTGGTTTATGAGCATACATTCAAGAAGCAGAGTGGTGCCAATCAATTTTACATTGCGTTTATGCTAGACATAGCAAAAGCATATGGTAGATTTGAGTGGTCCATCCCACATGAGATAATGGGAAAGTTGGGATTTCATAATCATTTTTGTAATTGGATTATGGAGAGTGTCACAACAGTGATGTTTAGTATCATGATCAATGACATTTGACTAGGTATTTTCAACATGCACATGCGATTGGGAACATCCTTGACTGTTATGCTACTGGATCATGAAAATTGTTAAACTTCAACAAAACTTCTCTATATTAATTAGGCCATCTCTAACGGACAAAATTTTGGAATTTAGTCCAGAAAACATCTCCAGCCCATATATCAGGAGGGGTAATTTGGCCGACTGCTTTTTTAGGCAGAATTTGAGACCAAATTCCAATCCGTGTAATAAATGGTGGAGTCCAGCTTCATTGGTTTACTCAGCCAACTGAAGAGCCCTGGATAGAGATGGCAACGGGCCGATTCGGGGTCAACTATGGTAATACTATCCCCAACCCCACCCCATCCCTTACAAGAATTTTCGAGGAATTCCTGTCCCCGTACCCTTCAGGGGGGCTACCTCCCAAACTGGCCCCGAATTTCCAATTTTTTTAAAAAAAAATATTCATATTACATTATAAACATGTATCTTTCAACTTAAATTATTATTTAACTCAATTACATTCAATTGAATTCTAAAATTC